GGACTCCAGGATCATGACCTGAGCCGAAGGCAGTTGCTTAACCAACTGAGCCACCCAGGCGCCCTAGTAACTCCTTTTTTGAAAACATCTTTATTGATCAAAACGAACCAAACAAACGTCTTTATTGGTAACTAATTCACGTGTCATACAATTCACCCATTGGAAGTATACAGTCCAGTGGATTTTAGTGTATCAGAAAGGTGTAACCATCACCACAATCGACATCGACAACATTTTCTTTACCCTACAAAAAAAGCCCTGTTCCCATTACCAGTCACTCCCCATTACCTCCCAACCCTCTGGGTCCCAAGCAACCGCCTGTCTTCCCTCTGTCTCTGTAGATTTGCCTATTCTGGACATTTCATATGAATGGAATCAGACAGTGTGTGGTCCTTTGTGACTGTTTTTCCCACTAAGCATAATGTTTTCAAGGTTACTCCCTAGTGTAGCATGTATCAGTCCTTCATTCCTTTTTATGATTGAATCATATTCTACCATATGGCTATACCACATTTTATTTATTCCTTCATCCGTTGATGATTTTTTGGCTATCATGAAAGATGTCCCTAGGAACATTCATGTAGAACTTTTTGTATGGGTGCGTGTTTTCAGGTCTCTTGAGCACGCAGCAGGTAGAATTACTGGGTGATACTGTGTGATGTCATGTGATAACTCTGTTAAATGCTTTCAGGAACAGTGGCACTGCTTTAACAATTTTATCCTGTTTTCTCCAGACTGTGGGACTTGGAGAAACAAATTAAGCAACTGAGGAATTATCGTGATAACTATCAGGCTTTCTGCAAGTGGCTCTATGATGCCAAACGCCGCCAGGATTCCTTAGAATCCATGAAGTTTGGTGACTCCAACACAGTCATGCGATTTTTGAATGAGCAGAAGGTACAAGCCAATTGGTCTTCCCTTAGATAACGCTAGGTGTGAGCTGTATTTTCCTCTGGTTTTCATAGCAGTACCTAGGTTCGAAACAATATTTAATATTACTAGTTCATTTTGTGAATGCTTGCAGAAGGCCTGGAGGAAAAAAAAAACAATTGAGATACTTACAAAGAAATCAATTATGAACTAGAAATAATGTAATATTGTAGCAAAGTATCTTTATAAATTGAAGTATTAGGATCAGAAAAGAGCACAGATTAGAAAGTTTCCTCTTAGAGAAAAAAAGTTGAAGATTTTGTGCTTCTCTTTTCTGAGGAGAAAACATGCTCATCTCCTAAGGTTTAACTGTGAGGTCATTGAATGGAGAAATAAACTGAGGAAAAACAGTTGTTCGACAGTGAAATAACATTTATGTAAAATTATTTATACACTTTGATGTTTATAAATACTTTATTTTTTATATAGAACTTGCACAATGAAATATGTGGCAAACGAGACAAATCAGAAGAAGTTCAAAAAATTGCCGAACTTTGTGCAAATTCGATTAAGGTATGTTAGCTTCGACAAAGAATGTTGGTATTTCTTTTTTTTTTTTTAGATTTTATTTATTTATTCGACAGAGAGAGTGAGAGAGCACAAGCAGAGGGAGCAGTAGAGGGAGAGGAAGAAGCAGGCTTCCCACTGAGCAGGGAGCCTGACACGGGGCTTGATCCCAGGACCCTGAGATCATGACCTGAGCCGAAGGCAGACACTTAACCATCTGAGCCACCCAGGCGCCCTGAATGTTGGCATTTCATCAAGAATAAATATTAACTGTGCTCCCTTCAGCCGCACATGTACTGAAATTGGAATGATACAGAGAATATTAGCATGGCTCTTGCACAAGGATGACATGCAAATTTGTGAAGTGTTCCAGATTTTAAAAATCTCTATTATTAACTGCATTATTTTCTGATTTACTTTAAAGAGCACACACCTCTTTTTTTAAATTTTAAAGATTTTTTTTTTTTATTTTTTTAGAGAGAGAGAGTGCACGTGCATGCACGTGCGTGAGCAGGGGGAAGGGCAGAGGGAGAGGGAGAAAGAGAATCCTGAGTAGACTCCAGACTGAGCACAGAGCCTGATGTGGGGCTCGACCTCATAACCTGAGCCAAAATCAAGAGTCAAATGTTTAACCGACTGAGCCACCCAGGTGCCCCAAAGACTATAAACTTCTTGAGGATAGCAATTATGGCTTTATGTATTCTTTCCTGAACAGACCGTAGAAAGTTTGTCATCCATTAACCTGAATTCATTGCACATTGGCAGTATCTACAGGAATGAGCTGGTCTTCATTCTTTACACTGGTAGTATGTGCAAAAATCTTCATTTGGTATATAAAGATGTACTACTTGGTTTAATAATGTAATATATTAGCTGCTTGGACACCATCAGTACATGACAACCTTTGGGGTTGGTCATTAGAAATACAGCTTGATGATTTATTTAAAACCGTGGAATTGTAGCTGTCAGTGACTCTTTTAAGCCCGTTAGGTAGGTTTATCTTAAACTTTTTTATTCGGCAGGATTATGAACTCCAGCTTGCATCATACACCTCAGGCCTGGAGACTCTCCTGAACATACCTATCAAGAGAACCATGGTGCAGTCTCCCTCTGGGGTGATTCTGCAAGAGGTAACTATGTCATTACATGTTTCTTAGTTGCCCCTCCTGCATCTTCTCTTTTCCCTGTCCCCTTCCTGTCTTCCCTGCAGACCCTGAATGCACCCTTTGTTACAGGGTACCTACTCAAAACAGGTTTAATAGCAGGTTATGCTCCCTTAGCGTGAGCCATCAATACCCGATGCATTTTAGGAAATGGTCAGTGGAAGTCTCTATCTAGTGTTTCTATGCTAGAATCTTTGCAGAAACTGGGCTTAAAGTCTAGGTTTAATGAGGGAGGCTTTTAACAAGTGGAAAGTGTCTAGTAGATTTTTAAAAGACAGCTTCTTCCCAAAGATGTCAGAGAACATCACCTGTCGGATGGCTTAGGAGAAACATCCTAGAGTCATGAGGTTGGAATACAATGTTATCAGCCCTTTGCTTTGTTGTACTTCTAGATTTTGGAATAAGCACACATGAATGAAGGGAGTTCACTCTTTAAATTATCTTTTCAATTTTAAATTATAATTTCTTTCACTCCTTCTTTTGCAAGGCTGCTGATATGCATGCTCGGTACATAGAACTACTTACAAGGTCTGGAGACTATTATAGATTCTTAAGTGAGATGCTGAAGAGTTTGGAAGATCTGAAGGTAATTTATTTACTTTATTTCCTTGGAGGATCAGAAAAGAAAATGGAATAGAACCTTATTATTGTTATTGCCTTGTTATAACCTGGATTTGGACATACTCACTGGTATATAGTTTGTTCATAAGTCAGGTGTTAGTTCTGTGATCCAGGACACTGCTCTGAATGGAGTTAGGTAATATTTACAAAATTCTAGCTACTTTACCTTACAAAAAAACCCCAGTAATTTCCTTTATCGTTTGGTCAAGTGATTTGCTTTATTTGTTTGTGTGTGTGTTAAATTAAGGAAGAGAACATCCTGGACTGGCTGGATTTGGATTGTTTTATGTTGAATAATTGTTTCATTTACTCCTCATTTCTAATACACGCATTGAGTTTATATGAAAACCTTCTACCTTGAAATAAAGGAAACATAATTCATGAAATCTCAAGCTTTTGATCTTGGAAGAAATTGCCTCATTCACAGACGAGGCAAGGGAAACTCAAAGGTGTTCTATCATTTGCTAAGATCGTACAGATAGTTGATGGAAGAATTGTGACGAGAACACAGATAGCATGCGTTCTTGTCTAGTAGCTTTCCCCTCATATCACTCTATATGTGTGCTTCTGCGTGTGTGTGTGTGTGTGGTGTGTGCACGCACGTATGCGGGCGTGTAAAGAGAAATGAGACCACGTGATGGGCTTACAATGTGAAATGTTTTTCTTTCAACCTAATTTCTGCTTTTGCTTCCCCAGCTGAAAAATACCAAGATTGAAGTTTTGGAAGAGGAGCTCAGACTGGCCCGGGATGCCAATTCTGAAAACTGCAACAAGAACAAATTCCTGGATCAGAACCTGCAGAAATACCAGGCAGAATGTTCCCAGTTCAAAGCCAAGCTCGTGAGCCTGGAGGAGCTCAAGAGGCAGGCGGAGCTGGATGGGAAGTCAGCGAAGCAAAACCTGGACAAGTGCTATGGCCAAATAAAAGAACTCAACGAGAAGATCACCCGGCTGACTTACGAGATCGAAGACGAGAAGCGGAGGAGGAAGGCCGTGGAAGACAGATTTGACCAACAGAAGAGTGACTATGACCAGCTGCAGAAGGCCAGGCAGTGTGAGAAGGAGAGCCTTGGCTGGCAGAAAATGGAGTCTGAGAAGGCCATCAAGGAGAAGGAGTACGAGATAGAAAGGTTGAGGGTTCTTCTGCAGGAGGAGGGCGCCCGGAAGAGAGAATATGAAAATGAGCTGGCAAAGGTAAGAAACCACTATAATGAGGAGATGAGTAATTTAAGGAACAAGTATGAAACAGAGATTAACATTACGAAGACCACCATCAAGGAGATATCCATGCAGAAAGAGGATGATTCCAAAAATCTGAGAAACCAGCTTGACCGCCTCTCGAGGGAAAATCGAGACCTGAAGGATGAAATCGTCAGGCTCAATGACAGCATCCTGCAGACCACCGAGCAGCGGCGGCGGGCCGAGGAGGATGCCCTGCAGCAGAAGGCCTGTGGCTCAGAGATGCTGCAAAAGAAGCAACATCTGGAGATCGAGCTGAAGCAGGTCATCCAGCAGCGCTCCGAGGACAACGCAAGACACAAGCAGTCCCTGGAGGAGGCTGCAAAGACCATTCAGGACAAAAACAAGGAGCTAGAGAGACTCAAAGCTGAGTTTCAGGAGGAGGCCAAGCGCCGCTGGGAATATGAGAATGAACTGGCTAAGGTAAGAAACAATTATGATGAGGAAATCATTAGCTTAAAGAACCAGTTCGAGACGGAGATCAACGTCACCAAGACAACCATCCACCAGCTCACCATGCAGAAGGAAGAGGACACCAGTGGCTACCGAGCCCAGATCGACAACCTCACCAGGGAAAACCGGAGCCTGTGTGAGGAAGTAAAGCGGCTAAAGAACACGTTGGCCCAGACCACGGAGACTCTCAGGAGGGTGGAGGAAAACGCCCAGCAGCAGAAGGCCACCAGCACCGAGGTGTCACAGAGGAAACAGCAGCTGGAGATCGAGCTGAGGCAGGTCACTCAGATGCGCACCGAGGAGAGCGTGCGATACAAGCAGTCGTTGGATGACGCTGCCAAGACGATCCAGGACAAAAACAAGGAGATAGAAAGGTTAAAGCAACTGATAGAGACGGAAACCAGCGCACGGAAGTGCCTGGAAGAGGAGAACGTGAAGTTGCAAAGGGCCCAGTATGAGCTGCAGAAAGCGAACAGCAGTGCAACCGAGACGATCGGCAAGCTGAAGGTTCAGGAGCAAGAGCTCACGCGCCTGAGGCTCGACTACGAGAGGGTCTCCCAGGAGAGGACCGTGAGGGACCAGGACATTGCGCGGTTCCAGAGCTCTCTGAAGGACCTGCAGCTGCAGAAGCAGAAGGTGGACGAGGAGCTGAGCCGGCTGAGGAGGGCCGCCTCAGAAGACTCATCGAAAAGGAAGAAGCTGGAGGATGAGCTGGAGGGCATGAGGAGGTCTCTGAAGGAGCAGGCGATAAAAATCACCAGCCTGACCCAGCAGCTGGAGCAGGCGTCCATCGTCAAGAAACGCAGTGAGGATGACCTTCGGCAGCAGAGGGAAGTGCTGGACAGCCACCTGAGGGACAAGCAGAGGACCCAGGAGGAGCTCAGAAGGCTCTCCTCTGAGGTTGAGGCCCTGAGGCGGCAGTTGCTTCAGGAGCAGGAAAGTGTCAAACAAGCTCACCTGAGGAACGAGCATTTCCAGAAGGCGATAGAGGATAAGAGCAGAAGCTTGAATGAAAGCAAAATCGAAATCGAGAGGCTGCAGTGTCTCACAGAGAACCTGACCAAGGAGCACTTGATGCTGGAGGAAGAGCTTCGGAACCTGAGGCTGGAGTACGACGACCTCAGGAGGAGCCGGAGTGAGGCGGATAGTGACAAAAACACGACCATCTCTGAACTCAGGAGCCAGCTGCAGATCAGCAACAACCGGACCATGGAACTGCAGGGGCTGATTAATGATTTACAGAGAGAGAGGGAAAATTTGAGACAGGAAATTGAGAAATTCCAAAAGCAGGCATTAGAGGTATTCACAAATATTTGATCACAGCTTCACTGTCTTTGAAATCATTCACTCCACTTTCATCTCATCTCGGCTGTGCTCTGCTCCTGGGATTGGCTGCTTGCAGACACTCTGCTTTTTCTGTTTATTGCTGTACTGCTATCTGTCGTAACCCAGGCCACTGCTTTAAAGTGATCTCAGTGCTGTTTGCCCTTCTGTTCTCTCCCTGCGTCGATGCCAGTCTATGTGGAACCTCTGTCTGGCCAGGCTTTTCGAACATCAGCAGGGGTACAACAGCTCAGAGTTTGTCTTCTGAATGTTCCACTCTATTTTCTAGAAGATAGCTCTTGCATAGTGAGTTCTGACCTGCACTTTTCACGGAAATTTTTCTAAATAAAAGCCTTATTAAAGGGGTTTTCTATGCAATTTTAAAATCACTTTTTCTTTCTTGCTTACATGATTTTTCTGCATGCATTATTCTATTCTCTTTTGATCATGACCCTCATATGTTTCTTTTTGTTTGCCTTTTCTTCTTTTAACCCCTAATTTAAAAATGCCTTCTTGAAGTTCTAATACATTTGACTTCTGTAGACAATATTTGTGTGGGGCTGGGTATGGGGTGCGTATATGTCCACAGATTTATTTTGCTTTATTAAACATGTTAGTATAGTTGTAACAGGTGGTATGTAGGTGTAGCAGGGGGACAAAACTCCCCATCTTTTTTCGAACCATAATTCCTGTTAAGAACAAGAGAGGTCTACAACTTCTCCTAGTTCCTTCTAAAAAAAAAAAAAAAAAATAGTAAGTATGAAGCCATTTATCAAAGTGGCAACCTATATCTACGGAATTTTTTTTCATGAATTTATAAGATAAAATAGCAGCATAGCAAAGGAACACAGAGGAACACAGGCAAATAAGTTTTTTTTTTTTTAATGTAGGAGAAGAGATTGAATTATGATTGCCATATGATACAATCAAAACATTATTTCTTCCCATTTCTTTCTTTTTAAATTCCAGGCATCTAACAGGATTCAGGAATCAAAGAACCAGTGCACTCAGGTGGTGCAGGAAAGAGAGAGCCTTCTGGTGAAGATCAAAGTTCTGGAGCAGGACAAGAGCAGGCTGCAGAGGCTGGAGGACGAGCTCACTCGCCTGAAGACAACGCTGGAGGCGGAAAGCAGGCTGAAACAACGCCTGGAGTGTGAGAAACAGCAAATCCAGAATGACCTCAATCAGTGGAAAACCCAGTATTCCCGCAAGGAAGAGACCATTAGGAAGATCGAGTCGGAAAGAGAAAAGAGCGAGAGAGAGAAGAACAGCTTCAGGAGCGAGATCGAGAGACTGCAGGCAGAGATCAAGAGGATCGAGGAGCGGTACAGGCGCAAACTGGAGGATTCCACCCGGGAGACGCAGTCGCAGTTGGAAACAGAGCGCTCCCGCCTTCAGAGGGAAATCGACAAGCTCAAGCAGCGCCCCTACGGGTCCCATCGGGAGACCCAGACTGAGTGCGAGTGGACCGTTGACTCCTCCAAGCTGGTGTTCGATGGACTGAGGAAGAAGGTGACGGCCATGCAGCTCTACGAGTGCCAGCTGATTGACAAAACAACCTTGGACAAACTGTTGAAGGGGAAAAAGTCAGTGGAAGAAGTTGCCTCTGAAATCCAGCCTTTCCTTCGGGGTGCAGGAGCTATTGCTGGGGCATCTGCTTCCCCCAAGGAGAAGTACTCTCTGGTGGAGGCCAAGAGAAAGAAACTACTCACCCCAGAATCCACAGTCATGCTCCTGGAGGCCCAGGCAGCTACAGGCGGTATAATCGACCCCCACAGGAATGAGAAGCTGACTGTGGACAATGCTATCGCTCGGGACCTCATCGACTTCGATGACCGTCAGCAGATATACACTGCAGAGAAAGCTGTCACTGGTTTTGACGATCCGTTTTCGGGCAAGACGGTCTCGGTTTCGGAAGCCATCAAGAAAAATCTGATCGACAGAGAAACTGGAATGCGCCTGCTGGAGGCCCAGATTGCATCAGGGGGTGTGGTGGACCCCGTGAATAGCGTCTTTTTGCCAAAAGATGTAGCGTTGGCCCATGGGCTGATTGACAGAGATTTGTATCGGTCCCTGAATGATCCCCGAGATAGTCAGAAAAACTTTGTGGATCCAGTCACCAAAAAGAAAGTCAGTTACATGCAACTGAGGGAACGGTGCAGAATCGAACCACACACTGGTCTGCTCTTGCTGTCGGTGCAGAAGAGAAGTATGTCCTTCCAAGGAATCAGACAACAGGTGACCGTTTCTGAGCTGGTAGATTCTGGTATATTGAGACCATCCACTGTAAATGAACTGGAATCAGGTCAGATTTCTTATGACGAGGTTGGCGAGAGAATTAAAGACTTCCTTCAGGGTTCAAGTTGCATAGCAGGCATATACAATGAGACCACGAAGCAGAAGCTTGGCATTTATGAGGCCATGAAAATAGGCTTGGTCCGACCTGGTACTGCTCTGGAGTTGCTGGAAGCCCAAGCAGCCACTGGCTTTATAGTGGATCCTGTTAGCAACTTGAGGTTACCGGTGGAGGAAGCCTACAAAAGAGGCCTGGTGGGCATTGAGTTCAAAGAGAAGCTCCTGTCTGCAGAACGAGCGGTCACCGGGTATAATGATCCTGAAACAGGAAACATCATCTCTTTGTTCCAAGCCATGAACAAGGAACTCATTGAAAAGGGCCATGGCATTCGTTTATTGGAAGCACAGATCGCGACGGGCGGGATCATCGACCCGAAGGAGAGCCATCGTTTGCCAGTTGACATGGCCTACAAGAGGGGCTACTTTAATGAGGAGCTCAGTGAGATTCTCTCAGATCCGAGTGACGATACGAAAGGATTTTTTGACCCCAACACAGAAGAAAATCTTACCTATCTGCAACTAAAAGAAAGATGTATCAAAGATGAGGAGACCGGGCTCTGTCTTCTGCCCCTGAAAGAAAAGAAGAAGGAGGTGCAGACATCACAAAAGAATACTCTCAGGAAGCGTAGAGTGGTCATCGTTGACCCAGAAACCAACAAGGAGATGTCTGTTCAGGAGGCCTACAAGAAGGGCCTGATAGATTATGAAACCTTCAGAGAACTGTGTGAGCAGGAGTGTGAGTGGGAAGAAATAACCATCACTGGGTCCGATGGCTCCACCAGGGTGGTCCTGGTAGATAGGAAGACGGGCAGTCAGTATGATATTCAAGACGCTGTTGACAAGGGCCTCATTGACGGGAAGTTCTTTGATCAGTACCGATCCGGCAGCCTCAGCCTCACTCAGTTTGCTGATATGATCTCCTCGAAAAACGGTGTTGGCGGCAACAGCAGTGGTATAGGGGGCGGTGTCAGCGATGATGTGTTTAACAACTCACGACACGAGTCAGTAAGTAAGACTTCCACCATCTCCAGTGTCAGGAACATAACCATCAGGAGCAGCTCTCTGTCCGACCCCCTGGAAGAATCGAGCCCCATTGCAGCCATCTTTGACACAGAAAACCTAGAGAAGATCTCCATTACGGAAGGAATAGAGCGGGGCATTGTTGATAGCATCACTGGTCAGAGGCTTCTGGAGGCTCAGGCCTGCACGGGCGGCATCATCCACCCAACCAGAGGTCAGAAGCTGTCACTTCAGGACGCAGTCTCCCAGGGCCTGATTGACCAAGATATGGCCACCAGGCTGAAGCCCGCCCAGAAAGCCTTCATTGGCTTTGAAGGCGTGAAGGGAAAGAAGAAGATGTCAGCAGCAGAGGCAGTAAAAGAAAAATGGCTCCCCTACGAGGCAGGTCAGCGCTTCCTGGAGTTCCAGTACCTCACCGGAGGCCTTGTGGACCCAGAAGTGCATGGGAGGATAAGCACGGAAGAAGCCATCAGGAAGGGGTTCATCGACGGCAGAGCGGCTCAGAGGCTGCAAGACACCAGCAGCTATGCCAAAATCCTGACCTGCCCCAAAACCAAATTAAAAATATCCTATAAGGATGCCATGAATCGCTCCATGGTGGAAGATATCACCGGCCTTCGCCTTCTGGAGGCCGCCTCTGTTTCATCTAAGGGCTTGCCTAGCCCTTATAACATGTCTTCTGCCCCAGGCTCCCGTTCAGGATCCCGCTCCGGCTCTCGCTCTGGTTCCCGCAGTGGGTCCCGGAGAGGAAGCTTTGATGCAACGGGGAATTCTTCCTACTCTTACACCTACTCCTTTAGCAGTAGCTCTATTGGGCACTAGTAGTCAGTTAGTTGCTATTTCCTTGGCTTCATTTATGTGAATTTTCACTTTACTAAATACTTTACTAAAAGAAAATCTAGTGCTTGCAGTATAGTGACAGAGCTTTCTATGATTAAGAAGACATAACCTTGGTTGAAATCAAATAGTAAAGGCTGTTCTGGCTTTTTATCTTCTTAGCTCACCCAAAGTACATAACACGCTGGATGTAGTGTGTATGAAGTGACAATCAGTTGTAAGGATAGCACAAATTGAATCTAGAGTCTGTTCCTTCTGTGTTTAGATTTTTGATCGATTCGTGTACTTCTTTTGGCCTATAATACAGATTTCTGTTCTTGGAGATGAAATTAAGCTGCTCATGGACACTTTAGTCATCATTCTGTTTCTCATCTAAATATTTCCATTTTCTGTATTAGGAGAAAATTCTCTCTCCCATTCTCCCTAGAATAGTCCACCCCAAACCCAAACATTTTGGAACGAGTCTCCTTTAGTTTTAGATTGTGGATTATGTAACCTATATACTCTTACATGCACCTGTTTGGTTTGGCATTAATTTGACTATATGTGAGTGATAGCAGCAATCTTTGCTTCTCTTTGCTCAAAGTTTTCTGTTTATTTTGCTTGTCATTTACTATGTACTTTAAAAAGGTGTCTTTATGAAGTTTGCTATTCTGGCAATAAACTTTTCGACTTTTGAAGCTTTTGCGTTTTGATTTCATATGTTTATACACACAAGGTAGTTATCAGCATCTTTCTGTTAATTGTACGATATGTCTAAAACCTCCTGTTTACTAAGTACCTATTAAGACTATTAAAAAAAAAAAACCAGTTTATTCCCGAATTCTTGCTAGACGTTGGTCTTTTGTAGTTTCTCCAACATTTCTCAAGTGCCTATTGTATGCAGAGTCCTTGGAAAGAAGCCTGTGTCCAGGCCACAGGTCAATACCCAGTTCTTGTTTATTCTGGACAATAAGTTCTAAGGAGCATGGGCAAAAGTCACCACAATACCATTAGAAAAATGGGAAGTGGGTCAGATTCCATTCGGGTAGTCTCCAAATACGTGGGGTTTCATTTTGTCCCCTAAGAGGAAAGAATTGTCCTTGAACCTATAAAAACGAGTCCTGAAGAATTCTTGGCTCTCTGTTGAAGGACAATGAGATCTAAGCCTATTCTTTGTATCAAAGAGAAACTTTTGAAATTCAGACATTTGTCATTAAATCAACATGACCTTACTGAATACTTACTATGTCTAGTATTAGGCTAGGTATTATGAGGATTCAACAGAATTTACAAGCCCCCTGACTTCAAGACATTTGCAGCCTGGGTGGGGACAAGAGATACATATAAAGCAATCAGAGGGACAACTTTCATATGTCAGCAATATCTATTAATATACTCAAACATTTTATAGCATAGATTAGAAGATAGGCAAACAAATGAGATGCTAATTGTGAAGAACAAAAAAGATCATATGTAAGATAATACTTAAATTGTTGGGGCCTTTTGGGACTTTGGGTGAAAATAGCATTCATTTCTTCCTTGTCTTACCTCCTTTTCTTCTCCTTGCTCCCCTCCCAAGCTGGAGGACTTGTAATTAACTTCATTCACTAAGTATTGAGTTCTGTGTGCTACGCATTGTTCCAGAAGCTATGAATCCCATGGTAGAAACACACGTACAAAAATAGCCCTTGTAATAGAAAAGGAAGAGAAAAATATGTGGTAAATGCTGTGTTGGGCAAAATGAAGGAAGATCTTCATGCTGGAGCTAGGAGACTGTTTTAGTCAGCTTGGGCTGCCGTAACAAGATGCCACAGACTATGTGACTTAAATTCATTTTCTCATAGTTGCGGAGGCTAGAAGTCCAAGGTAAAAGTGTTCTTAGGTTGGCTGCTGGTAAAAGCTCTCTTTCTGGATGGTAGGCAGTAAAGGGTAGGGAAGGAGCTCTGGTATGTCTTCCTTGTCTTAGAAGGACTTTAATTTTGTCACGTTAGAGCCCCATCTTTATGACCTCATTTAACTTTAATTACCTCCTTATAGTCCTTATCTCTAAATATAGTCACATTGGGGGTTAGGGCTCCAATATATGAATTGGGGTGGGGGTGGGGATGACACACAATTCAGCCTATAATAGGGGCCTAATCTAGAATGCGTCAGAAGTTCTCTCTGGAAGAATGGTGATTAAACGGATTAATAAGGGGCACCTGGGTGGCTCAGTCGGTTAAGCATCTGCCTTCAGCTCAGGTCATGATCCCGGGGTCCAGGGATTGAGCCCCACATAAGGCTCCTTGCTCAGCAGGGAGCCTGCTTCTCCCTCTCCCACTCCCCCTGCTTGTGCACTCTCTCTTTCTCTGTCAATTAAATAAATCAAATCTTTAAAAAAAAAAATAGGTTAGTAAGCATCAATGTAAAGCAGTTCTTCAGGTTGAAAGAGTATACCTTCAGGCTGTTGCCAAAGTTGTCATTAAGCTCTGAGGTGGGATAGGCTGTGTCCTGGAGAGAGGACATCCTTGACCTTGGCTAGTTTTGATTTGGTTCACCTACAGCGTGCCTCCACAGAAAAGTTATATATGTATGTATTTTTCGATGAAAATCATCATTTCACATCCACAAAGTCTCACATTTTCTAGACTGCTGCTGGGTTAACCATGTAAATGCAGATAAAAAGTAGGGATGTTGTGGGCAGAGTATAACTAAACCAGAACTCATCCCTTACCCCACAGCTGCTTGCAGCTATTGGCCTATTTCTGTATTTTGGGGGCACTATTTTTGTGCTTATTTATACTCATCACCTTTTTTTTTTTTTTGTGAGAGAATTGTACTATCTGCCCATGGAAATAGCTATTCACAAAAATTCCATCCACAGTTTCATCTGATAGAAACAAGCACAAAAGGAAGCAAAGACTTGGCATCAGGCTTGAAAAAAGTAAAAATAAATAATATAAGAGGGGTTGGGTTCTGGGAGTTAAAACCATTTGGGGAAATTAAAAGGGCTGATTCCAGCCCTTTTAATTGGATAGGAAAATGTACAAAGTAAGCTTGGGTTAATCAAGGAAGAGGAAGTACTCAAGGACTAATGGGACACATCATAGAGACACAAAGTGGTTTAAGTGGCTTCCACTGGTCAAATTTGGGACAATTGGAGCATCAAGGAGAATTATGATGGTAATGGAGTATGTAATAATGAATTTATTTTTTTAAGGTTTTTATTTATTTATCTGAGAGAGAGAGCATGAGCAGGGAGGAGGGGCAGAGGGAGAAGCAAACTCCCCGCTGAGCAGAGAGCCCGATGCAGGACTGGATCCCAGGACCCCAGGATCATGACCTGAGCCAAAGGCAGATGCTTAACTGACTGGGCCACCCAGGTGCTCTGTAATAATTAGTTTTAAAACCTTGTATCGGTAATAATTTTTAAAATCCCTTGATTCCATAGTGAACAACAAAATGAAGGTGTGCTAAGAAGGCCAGTTAACAAATATAGAAGCCATGACAGTATTAGAGAATCATCATTTATAACTCCTAACATAATGACAGGTTCACTGAAGGATTGTGTGAGTTTTTTGGGGAACAGGACATTCATATAGTCTCAAAGTATCATCCCACAGAGGGAAATGTCATACAGCGGAGTGATATAACCATCTACCTTTACCAAATGATCAAATTTAGCATTACTAATAGAAGGAGAATTTAAGATATGTGTTCTGTATGAGATGTAATAAAGAGTCACACACATCTCCTTGCAAAAATGCTTGAACAAAACCTAATCATAAGGGGAAAATCTGATAAATCTAGAAAGAGGAACATTCTACAAGACAACTGGCTGCAGCTCCCAACAAAATTCAGTGACTTAATTTGAAGACGGTGGGGAGACGTTCCAGGTTAAAAGAGACGATAGCCGATTACAGCTCATGGTTTGAAAAAAACTAATGAAATGGCTATGAAAGGAATTTGGGGGACAACTGGGGAAATTTGAATATAAACTGAACATTGGAAGATATTATGAAATTATGAATTCTCTTAGATTTGACCATGTATGGTAGTTATGTAGGACAATGTTCTTATTCTTAGGAGATGCATACAGGCATATTTGGGGGTTTAAGCAGCTGCAACTGACTTTCAAATAATTCTGCAAAAATAAGTATGTGGAGCTCTGTGTGTGTGTGTGTGTGTGGAGAGAGTGAGAGAAAGCAAACATGGGCAAATGTTAACAACTAATGAGCTGGAGGATGGTTATGCAAATGCTTGTTGTGCTACTCTTTAAACTCTTTTGTAGACATAAACCACTTTTTAAAAACAGTTCAGCTTTTTAATGAACATGTTTAAAGGCGTTTAGTCAAAAAGACCGAAGCCCACGTCACCATCAGACTCCTCGGATTCTTCTTTCTTTGCTTTCACGTTCTTCTCAGCAGCGGCAGCAGTGGTGGACCGGGCAGGACCTTGGCTGGTGCAGCGCGAGCCGCTGGGGCAGGTCCACCAGCCCCTACGTTGAGATGAGGCTCCCGATGCTAACACTGGCCGGGGCCTTTCCAAACAAGCCTGGCCAGAAAGGTTCAACATTTAATGAAGTCATTGATCTTCTCCTCCGTGACCGCCAGCACATCGTCGTGCAGCATGAGGGCCGAGGAGATGCAGGCGAGCTCCAAGGTGGAGGCCACGGTGCCGGCAAGTGCCCTGCGGGAGCTGCCGGAAACCGGCGCCAGCCCCCGTTTGCACACCTCATCCCAACGTGGCCTAGCTTCATCGGAAGGACAGAGCATCTTAGCGGCAGCTGACGAAAGGGCGATATAAACCATTTTTTTAAAAAGTTGTGGGGGCGGGAGGGAATGCAGTTCAGGGAAGCCCAGGCGCAAACGCACCGGGGAGCAGTTGCGCCAGCAGCGACTCCTGGAAGACACCCGGAACACCTCTCAAAATGACAGCTCCCGCCCTTCCCGGGCCTTTCCCTATAGGCGGTTCCAGTCACGTGGCGGCCTGGTCCCGCCCACAGCTCCCAGAGGCCCGCGCGCGGCGCCGCCAGTTCGGCTACTCCTTTCTGGCGGGTCGGGCGCGGCCATGGAGGGCGAGCCGCCCCCGGTGGAGGAACGGCGGCGGCTGCAGCAGGAGCTTAGCGGGTTCGTGGAGAGCTGCTGCCGGACGCTGGAGGAGGTGACGGCGTCCCTGGGCTGGAGCCTGGATCGGCTGGACCCCGGGGAGGAGGCGGCAGAGGTGAATGGGGGCTTGCGCGCCGGGTCCTTTTGGGGGCCCTCAGCCTGCGGTCTTCTGTGGCGGGGGAGGAATCCGCGTGGGAGCCCCCGCCCGTCTGCAGAGCCGTGGTGGGCGCCGGGGACCCGGCCTGGGGCGCCCTTGACGCCTGCGGGCCTCGGGTGGGGCGCGCGGGGGGCCTTCGGAGCGCTCGGCGCCCGCCGCTTGTGCGGCGCTCCTTCCGCGGAACTTCGGTTCGAGGAGAAGGTAAAACTGCGGTGGGTGAGGAGGGGTGGCAGGTCTGGGGTTTATCTAGAAAATAGGTGAATCGGCCTCAGAGTGCTGCTAGCAGACGTATTGCCCGTTTGCTTTGTCATCTGTCACATGGATACAGCAGTTGCACCAGATTCGGCGTCAAGAGAGCTTGGGAGTTCAGTTCTCCTTTTTCTGCCTTAAAATTCTACACCTCTGACGGGGACAGCATTGATTCTAGGATTATTAGAGAGTATCACTAAGAGAT